ACGATTGAAAAATAAAACAAATTTCCTAATATCAGAGTTTTTTAATTCGATGCTTTTATTTTGTAAAATATAGACAAATTACTCACAATATTACTTTTCAAAACAAAATTTCGATTTTTTAAATAACTTAAGGTTATTTCCTTCAAAATGAAATATAGAATTACGAACAAAAAAACTTCGCCTTGGCCTCACTGCTCATCACTAATTGGTAGCACTGTACCTTTTGTCATTTGAAATAAAACGGATAAATTTATTTTGGTCATAGAAGCGTTCTATATTCTATTAATATATTCATTTTTTCTATGATATTTAAATAATTCATATAACTATTTTACGTTTATTCTTAATAAAGATAAAAATGAGTTCGAATAAACGTCAATATAAGTGTAAGAATAACCCCAATAAATTTTGTTATGCGTGAGGCGAATATATTTTTGTTACACCGCCGAATTTTACTAGTACATTGCAATCTGCGTATCGTTTTTACTTTAATATATCTTTAATATTATTTATTGCTATCAATAAACAAACGCCATTCTGTTGGACCATAGGCTCACCAAATTCTTTAAACAAACCGTAAATCTTGTTATAGTAACAAATATTGTTTTTTTTATATAATATTGAGCATAATATTTGTGACGACTTCTGTAAAATATAACTTTTACTTGTGATTTTAATAAATTTCGTTCTTGCAATCTTGACACCAATAACTCTGATTTTTCCTTTGAGAGTTTCAAATTTCTTATTTAATTAAATTCTGTCAGTTTGGATAAAAATCATCGGAATTTTTTCAAGTTTAAAACTAATGTCAGTCTTACAGTCGGCATGATTACTTGATTCGGGCTATTCACTATATTCTTATATAGTCAAAAAAATAGGCTGTCGCCAAATTGTTGGTACATCAAATGATAAGTATCGTCTAAAGCGAACGAAAATTTTTAAGATTTTAGTTATTTTATACATAAATAATATAAAAAATTTCAAAAATATATTTTTTTTTTTACTTTGCACAGTCATCCACATTGTTAATCCAGTTTTGCACGTGTTACAAAAGACATTTGGCGTCCACGATTCACTTAAGTTCTCTGGAGAAATATTAAAGTAAAAACGATACGCAGATTGCAATGTACTAGTAAAATTCGGCGGTGTAACAAAAATATATTCGCCTCACGCATAACAAAATTTATTGGGGTTATTCTTACACTTATATGAATTATTTAAATATCATAGAAAAAATGAATATATTAATAGAATATAGAACGCTTCTATGACCAAAATAAATTTATCCGTTTTATTTCAAATGACAAAAGGTACAGTGCTACCAATTAGTGATGAGCAGTGAGGCCAAGGCGAAGTTTTTTTGTTCGTAATTCTATATTTCATTTTGAAGGAAATAACCTTAAGTTATTTAAAAAATCGAAATTTTGTTTTGAAAAGTAATATTGTGAGTAATTTGTCTATATTTTACAAAATAAAAGCATCGAATTAAAAAACTCTGATATTAGGAAATTTGTTTTATTTTTCAATCGCGCATAACTTCTTCATTTTTTTATCAATGTTACAAATAATATATCATTTTCTTTGTTATGTATTAGAGTATAACGTCTATTAAAATTATTGTTGATAAATTTATTTTTTATTGGTGTATTTTACGTAAAACTCTGAATTTTTTCTGACATTTTGAAAAAAATGATAAAAATTCAGTGGTAAATTCGTAGATAGCAAACGACAAAAAAGTCAAATAAAAAATTGTTTAAGCTAAAAATTATAGGTAATTTAATATTGTTTAATTTTATGTAAAAAAAATGAAAATCGGTTGAATGCAATTAAAGATATTTAGAATATAATGAAAACGTTTTTTCGCGGTACACGAAAAACGCTAATTTCGCAATAACTCAAAAACTGTTCTACTTTTTGTATTTTGGACTTCATTTTCGGACTCAGTGGACGATTTTACATAAAAATTGACTATCATAAGTCATAGGACAATTTTGTTGTAAACTAGTGTAATTATCATAATTATTAATTTACGATTTTACTAATTTATATATGTATATATATACTAATACAACATGAATGGGATTTACACTTCCAGTGAAGTGATCCATAATTGGTCTATAGTTAGTAGAATGTTTGTTTCTAAAACCGAATTGATAATCTGGTATAAGTCTTTTTCTTCTATTAAAGGTTTGAGGCGCTTTAAAAGAAGCTTCTATAAGAGTTTAGCCGTTGTAGCGTTACGCTACTGCTTTATCATTGGTTGACAGTTGCAAGAAAGTCCGCTGGACAGCGCTGTTCGACAACCCTTATTCAAAAAATGTAAATTAAAGTATTTATCTATTATTTTTTTTATTATTTTTTATTATATTTATTGTAATGATTATTTTATATACCAGTCTTAGCGAGAACTCGAAAATAGGAAATTAGAATATTCTTTTGTTTTTAGAAGGTTTTAAAAATAAATAATATGTGGGCAATTGTTCTACACTACCCCGGTGGTGACGGGTAGCATAAAGTACACTGTCACTACTCATATTAATTATTCATTTCTCTCTGTAGATTCTGAAAGTATTACATTAGTATTTCTTTACTTTTAACTAGTGATCGCAATATTAATTGCCAACTAGTCTCCTTTCATTCAGCCTTCCATCGAGTAAGTGTTCTTTATTTATTCCTTTTACTTAATTCTTATTACATATATATACTTTTCAACGGTGTTTGTAACTATTCGTTACCAACCGTGATCAAAATTATATATATTTCTTTTCTTAAAAGGCTAGTCATAATCTTCAACGGTGATTATAACCATCGTGTTATCAACCGTGATCAAGATTGCTAGTTTTT